ATTGAAGCTCATTTTCAGAAAAAAAAATGAGTTTTCGGAAAACTGCATTCGAAGTGATTTGAAACACTTCCACTCACAAATGCAATAGTGTTTATAAATCGCTGGAAATGTGCATAAACGGCGAGAAAAATATTTAAAAAAATTACATTTGTGTAATTGTAAAAGAAATGAAGTAATACACCTAAACGAATTTTATCTCATATTAAAATGTGCAATTAGCACTACGCGTTTGAAAAGATAGAAGGAAATATTTAGAGTATTTTTGAAAAATTGGCATTTGAGGTGAGTGGCGGGACCTTTGCACAGTTTCAAGATGGCGGTCCATACTGCGCGATGGCTCATTGAAGATCCATGGAACCGCTCTCTACCGGGGAGGGGGGGCGTCGCTCTTGCGCATCGTAATCGACTTCAGCCAATGAGCTTCAGGCAGATTGCGTCAGAATATTAGCGGGGGTTTTAAATACAACCAGATATCAAAATGATCACCTCGTTACAAGACATTGAAACAATTTTGTGAACCATTTCTTTTTAAATATTGCATCTTGTACACCTTTATTGTGTTATTTTTGTTTGCTTACCGTTGAAAATTTTCACTTTGTACCTTCAAAACTACCCGTTTCTCAACACTTGTCGCACTTCATGCAATATGGCGGACAGCAACTGGTGTGGCTTTTCAAACGAAGTGCCCGTGTTGTGGTCACGTGTTTTGTGACGCAAACTGGTGTTGGGAAGAACACTCATACATTGCCTCCATGCCCTGTGCTTACCTGTCTTCTGTGCCCGAGACAGGACCGGATTTAAGTAGTGCGGGGCGCAAGCACAAAATTGTGTTGCCCCCCCCCACCCCCAATTTCATCTTACACATTGTTTGAGACATAAATTTCTATTTGGTCTATATAGGCCTCCTCTTTTGTCCTGAGGGCCCCCATAGCTGTTAATTTGAGCATGAAAAATTTTGAGGTTTGCATAAAAAAATTACATATTCAGTTATAAGTTAAACAAATGAAGTGTAGTTAATATTAGACTAATTTAACATGTAATAAATATTTTTTTTTAATGTTTTGAAATTGTACATTTTGTTACACAGTAGACTACTTGATTAACAATTATGTCACAGACAAAAAAATATGGTATGCGTATTTTTCCGAAACGCGGGGCCCCTGGTGAATGGGGGCCCCCAAGCAACTGATTGTTTTGCTTGTAGGTAAATCCGGCCGTGGCCCGAGGTGTCACTCGAACCCGCGAGCCTTGAAGCGGAAATGGTTACGGCGCATCCGCCTGATCCGGCTACCCGGGTTGGCTGCAGGCTCACATGCTTCAAATGCAGTTTATATCAATGCCAATGTGATACAAAAGTAGTCTAATGTACTCGTCAATTAACTATATATTTTTGCCGTCATAATCAGTTTTTGGAGTTATTACTGAAAATAAAAACTTACGCAAACCATACGGTGGAATGTTTATCCTAGGCGCTAGTCAAACACTGGACCTTTTTTCACAACTACAGATTAAGAATAGCTGCTTGTAAACGTGAACAGAACATTTAAATAATTATTTGAAAATAATTGAAAGAGAAATATCGTATAGTTGCTCTCGAAAAACAATGCTTACTAATAAATTTAGTCTCTCGCGTGATTTTTCATTTTTATAACTTAGCAATACCTAATAGAGGTTAGATTGACCTCGGCATCCGTAATTTTCGTTCTTTCTGCGTTGAATATTAGCTCACATTGTTGACAATGAAAGAGAGTTTTCGTCAAATAGTATATGGTTGTGTGTGGTACAAAATTTTAATTGAGGGTGACTTTATGTCGTGCCTCAAGAGAAACAATGGTGACAATAGCGTGTATTAATATACACGCTATTGTTATTTTTTAATACGAATACAGCATAACTCCTAGGCCGAGAGTCAATACTTCCGTTTGCGATGAATTTCGCAGCAGTTATTTATCAACGTAGAATGCCCGGTGAGGTATGCTACAAGTAATATTATCTGATTCCTAAAAAATACTATTTATTGAATAAAAAAAGTAATTTCACTGTTAACTTCTTCAATAGCAAAAAAAATGTTCTCGCGAAAGTTTTTACATAGTACTAATTAAAACTAATTAAATTAAAAAATTAGGCCGGTAAGCGCCAATTTTTTTTATCATCTTGAAAAACGGAGATTTTGCCTTCATTTAAAGTATTTTTGGGGGAAATTTAACGTACATACTACCTTGAACTGGCGAAGGTAATTTATTCCGTAATTTTTTTTGTTGAAATCTCATCCGTATCTTTGTAGCCGGAGGAAAATTATTTGTTTATACATTAAATAAAAATTATTTTCTTTGTCTGAACTTAGTATAAAAATGTACTAGAAATTCCTTCTTTTCTGAAACTATTATACATTTCTTTAATCATGAAGGATCTACCTAGTAACATTGGTGTCTATATATCAGTATGTAGAGATAAACTCAAATAAAGAAAATTCGTCTGACGGATTTAATAGTGAAGATTATTACTTTTAGTGGGTAATGGAGAGTTAGGTTAAAAATAGGTACCTTCACTTGGAAAGAGAAAAAAGTGATTACCAATGCGATAAATTTTGTTTCATTTCTTATGAATACAATCTTGTTTACACTTCAATCTTGTATTAATTATAGGAAAGTACATTTTGTATTAATTATAGGAAATTTATAAAACATGCCTTCAATGAATAAAGTTATTTTTTATTTCCCATGATAATACAAAATTTTATGCACATGTGAAAATAACTCAGAATTTTAAGATATCTTAAGTACTAAAATGTTTTGAAAATTATGTGATGTTCAGGGGGAAAGTATACAAGTGATGTAATTAAATTTAAAATTTTGTGCAAACAAAATACATTAATGAATGTTTTTCAAAAGAATTGACAAAAATCTTGCTATTATTTATTGAAATTGCTTGATATCAAATTTCTAAATTGAATGTATGACTATTTAAATTTGCATTTAAATATTACCAACATTTACTATGATATTTAGGAATTGAATAAACAATTTTGTATGCAGAGAGAGGAAAATAACAGTTTGTAGTTTTCCCAATGTTTAATAACAATACTGGGTACCAATCCTTCCTGAAAATTACTAAGATCAACTGGTAGATCTAATCTTCCAATGAAATGGGGAATAATTGTATTTAAATCAGAATGTTTACAAGCATATCGTATTAACAATTCTTTTGCAAACTAAGAGTACATAAAATGATTAGCACCAGTTACTGTTTTTTGAACACAAAAATATACACAATTTTTATTCTAATACTTCAGGTTATTACTCATAGAACATTGTATACAATTTAAAATCACATTTGTGGGGAACAACTTTCTCTTCTATGAGTTTCTTGTCTTCTGACGGAAAATTCATTAAAAATTACTGATACATTTGAGAGAAAAGAGTCACAAATTAATTACCATAATCCTGCTAAATTAGAGAAATTACTTTGAATGGCTGTCAGTTTAATGGCATTAAGGAATAGGAATAAACATACCTAATTCTTAATGTAATTACAACACAAAAAGTTACTTTACAAAAAATTCTTTAATAACAAAAATGCAGTAATAAGTTTTTCAATTTGTTGGTTTATAAAATCCTTATCTACATTTTGGTACTATACAAAATACCAAAGAAGTAGTATACACACAGAAGAGTTTTCTTGACAGACTGAGACTCTCAAACCTTTTTTTTCATAATTCAAGAATTCTCAATAATTTCATATTTTAGTCAATCACCTATTGTTATACAATAAAGATAGTGTAAAACCTAGTCTATGTATTTAATTTGATATTTCTTCCACACAGAATGCACAATTATTCTTCTAGTAGAAAAAACCTTCTAGAGGTGAAAGTTTGCACACACATACTTTCAGGACAATAATATCTTTCTTAAATTCTTCTGCAGTGAAAAATACTGTTTTGGTACATATTTTTTTATTGAATATTCTCTTAATTAAAGACAAAATAGTGTTGTTTTATAAAAGTATATAAAATTTAATACATTAAATGTTAATGCCCTATAATACAAATTTTTTTGACAATACTTTTCACAAAAATGGTCTATTTATTTTCTACTCTTGGAAATGTCAATATTCTGCAAGATTATCACACATATATCAGACCTGGATAACATATACATCAGGTATCACTTCATAGAACTGATATGCACATGTTAGTAGAACTCTTCTTCCTTTTCTATACATCTATGCAACAGTTTCAATAAAACAGGGAAACTGATGGCACTTGCGCCTCTATAATTTCTGTCCAACAAAAAAGTTAATGGAAATCTTTTCCGCACTTAATAAAATTACTAGCAAAATTTAGGTTTATAAAAAATATCATGTCCTACATATGTGTCAAATTTGAAATTTAATAAAAATGGAGTTAGTTTTATCCTGAACAATTAAAAAAATCTTTGGAAGTAAAGAAAGAAGAGTTTTCATTACAACAAAAATGTTATGAATTGATAATTATAATGTGCATGAAAAGTAAAGTAAATATCTGAAGTATCATTAAGTTCATTTTTTATTGAACAATCTTTACCAAAAATATGTACGCCTGGGTTTGAATCTGTCTGATTAAAATTGGAAAAAAATCACTTTTGTACAACAAAATAATCTACAATGAAGATGTATGAATCAAAGAATAGCATGACAACCTAAACCATTTTCTTCCATAAGATCATCCTTACAATTATTATAAAACATTCTAACTTCATCAAGAGGTAATTTCAGTGCCAGGTCTGGAATTCCCTCAATTCCAAAATCTTAAACAACTTACTTACGCTATAGCAGAACCACAAAAATCCAAAAAACTATATAGAAAATTTAAAACTAGTAAATGCAATTTTTGCATTTGGTTGCATACAATTAGATTTGAATATGTTCATTGGTTTCTCTTTAACGACCAAACCTGTAAATATCATCTCTCGGATTTGCGTATTGATACTAAGCATAAAATTTAATCTGCACGAAGGGATTCACTAACTCGGTTGATACCATACAATGTTTCCACCTAAACATCCAGATACCAACAGACAGTGATGGGGAGAAAACCGTGTGCAAACTACTACATCTTTGTGGCAAACACTTGAAGTCAGTTCATGTAATTGAACAGGAGGTTCAATTGGGAAACAAGTTGATAGTTCCGAACATTCAGGAGAAAAGGATAGAAGCCTAACTCCGCAACCATAAGGTGAACATATTAAACGCCCGTCAGCAGAGAAACATAATTCTTTGAAGAGCCCTTCTCCAGCATTCAATTCCCTAACATAGTGAGTCAATCTTGGAATATTCTGACGCATTTGGTCATTAAATGCCGGAAACTGAGCAAAGTAAGCACTACGAAGCCCAGATAATTGTGATCTTCCGCTAATGGGAACTACTTGTACAGCAGAAGCAGAACTGGGAATTTGGTCGTCAACATTGAACCTGGCGCCTCCTTCCTGTTCAGCTCTTTCGCGCATGTGTCCACTTTCTTGTGTACTAGATGGTTCCCTCCCAGTGACCTTAGCGAACTCCCGGGGAAGGCCTGAGGAAGGCGCGCTGCCTGCGTCCCCGACTGTTTCTGTTCCGCGGCTGCCCTCCGCCCCTTCCGCCTGCCCCACAGGGCTCCCCCTCGAAGTGCTCGGAGAACAGGAGAAGGGCGGGGTGGGCGGCGCTAGCGGAGCCCCCGGGAGGTCCCTCCCCGCTTCGGGGCGGGAAGAAGCGCCTGGGAGGTGCGTGGGGGTTGCGGGGAGTTCTCTGTTGAGGACGATCTCGGCGCTGCCACTATCACTGTCATGCACGCCACTGTCACTCCACGGACATACCGAATCTGCCGAAGATTGATTCTCAGAGTCACAGGGGGAATCATCTCCAGGGAAGTCTGGGTATTCCTGAATGTCATGAACGCAGGTCCATTCGGAAAACTCGTTGTTGCTTATGTTACGACTGAGGGCACACCACCCTTGAGGATGAATCTCCAGTGAAGACACTATTACACTATCAGCTCCTCTGGGGAAATCACAAACAAACTCGACTCGGTTATATTTATGTATTGGAGAGGACAATTTCGTGAAATTGTTTGCCGATTTGCTGGTTGACTGCCTCATGAGACGATACGTGCTGGGATTAAATTTATGGAGATCTTCAGCTAGAGTTTGAAAGTTGAGATTGTGAACAATCATAAGATATCCTCCCATAGTACAAATGATCATCTTTGATGCATCTGGAGTGAGTCTTGTGCGAACGAGGCCATCAGCACGGAACACGAGTTTGTACACACATCGGGCGTCAGTGAGATGTCGTGCATCCCATGTGAAGATACTTCCATCAAACCCAGATGTCAATAGCAAACCATCCTTTGGTGAGTAGTCAATATTACTCACAGGATTTGCGTGGCCATGGAGGATTCGAATTTTGGACTTTAAATATCTAATGTCCCAAATTGCCACGGTGCTGTCATCCCCACAGCTGGCGAAAGATCGAGAATCTAGAAATTTTGTGCAATTGACGCACCCACAGTGTGCGTTAGCAATGCAGTGAGTCATTTTTCTGCTCAGAGGATCAAACAGAAGTATTGCATTTTTTTCACAAGAAGCCACAAGAAGGGAGCCATCATCGGAGAATTCTAAATTAAAGATTCCGTATGTAGAATTCTTTAAATATTCGTTTCGACACCAATAGTAGCAAGGGTTAAAAGAGGAATAAATCCCTTTGAAAAAGTGGTCTGTATGCCCCAAGGGCATTCGTTGACCTAATTCCCTTTGTGTAAACCAAGTAGTGTTTGGAACATTAGGCCTTGTTTTTGGCATGTTGCTTTGCTGCCAAGCTGTTGCTCTATTACAGATTACCAATGGTTAAAAAATGGGTGAAAGATTGCTCAATAAAAGAACCAAGCAATAAAGCAACCCGGAAACGCTTAATTTCTCTTTTAAATGGAAGCAACGTTCATTACCATAAAAGTATACTGATATTCCTTTGAACCTGGGTGATGCCGAAGGAGTAGCAGGATTTTCGACGATTCAACGAAGAACTGAAGTTCATGTGTTGAGACGTTGGACACACGAAAAGGCAAAGCAGATGTGAGGCGCGCACTTGAAACACACTGCAAAAACACATTGCATAAATTAGTGATAAAACATTCGGTAAAAGTGCATTTTGTGAACTAAACAAATTATTTTGCCTCAACCCGTTTAAATGTTCTTTTAAATCAACTTATGAAAGCTTAATATTATTATTATTATTATTATTAATAATAATAATAATAATAATAATAATAATAATAATAATAATAATAATAATAATAATAATAACACGAAAACGAAGTTAACCTTTTGAATTTGAGGAAGAAAAGAAGCGATCAACAAAATGAATAAAGGAAAATGGAATGTAGATGATGACATAGAAAAAATTCGGAGTAAATACTTTATTTAGTCTCAATTGGAGGTAATAGTGTTAATACAAGTTTATTACATAAATGGAATATAAACTATAATATGCACGTGCCATTATGGGAAGGATCAATCTATATATGCTGCTCTGATTCAAGCCCGGCTATATTCCAGCATTCGTACTACAAATTGCTAGAAACGTGGACAAAAACTGTGTTAAATATTGGGATTGTTAGCCCAGAATAAACACCTTTAAATGTAATTTTAAAGAACAAAACACACGATGGAAATAAAAATTCATAACGATTACAGAAATGATTATGTGAAATTTAGGCAAAATCTAACAAATCCTAAGATTACAAAATAAAAGAACAATTAGGATAAAAACCGAAATTAAATCAATGAAAGAAAACAAAACTACAATGAGTCAATCACGTTCGAAATTAATCTGATAAAGTTCGTGAATACGTTATGTCAACACATGCTTTGGTATAAAAACAATGATGCAGAAGGAAATACTCACCCTCCCTTTTAAGAAATTCTAACAGCGTATTGTCTGCATACAAAAGTCCAAAATCCTTATTCTGAGATGAATCAGGTTGACTTTAATTTTGTTAATTGTTTCTACTCAATCTTTTGCTAGGTAGAAGATCAAACCTTTTTTCAAGTGCGCGCGCACACACGCACACACACACACACACACACACACACACTATAATACGTAACATTGTTTTAAGAAGCAAAAAATTGGGCCCAAAGATGTGTATTTCAGAACATTTTTACTTTTCTATAAATTTGTCAAAACATATCTTTGTTAAGAGAAAATTCAGTCGACAATATAGTACATCCAATCTCGAAGGCTTCAACGATTGTTGCACCAGAGTACACCAATCAAAAGAATAGAAAACATGTTACTTAGAGATATAAATAACTAAAAAACAAACAATGGACTTGGTGAGTTTCACTTATATATCACTATAAGGGAGAACATTAAGCCCTTCTAATATATGTTCGGCGAAATCGAGGCTTACCTGATTGAATGAATGCCAGTTCTTGTAAATTGCTGCCAGATTAATCTCAACACCTCTGAGCACTCTCTGAGCTGAATAATGAAATAATTTATTTTTTTATAATATAAAGACATTTGTCATTTGGCTGTTGTGTGTACTAGCACATCTTACACATTCAGTCTATTCTTTCAAGGCTTAGGAATACAAGTATACGACATGTAGTTTGCTAATTGGGAAAACTTTGTGTCCTAAAAACCTGCGCATTAAGTCATTGTTGTTCCATTATTACAATAATCGAGATATTCATAAGTTAATATAAAACAATATTTGGATACCAACGAGGACCTTAGTCCATCTTCGCTCGTCTTATACCACATCAACCTCAAGGTTTGGAAAAGTGAAGCGATAACTAAAATAGCAAACAACAGAACTAGTGATTTTTTTATAAGAAAATATAACCATTACATCACAATTCATTGTTATTATTCTAGAGCGAAGTTGATCGTATTTCAAATTTAACGGAGAGGCTCCAAGCTTCAGAAATGAAATAAAACAACATTGAGTATATCCAAATATTGCGGATGTAAACATTACACATGTACTGACATCTGCCGGAACAGTTCGGAACACGTTATTCGTCGACTCTCTGGTAGTATATGCTTAGCTCAGCTTAGCGAAATGTGTGCTGTTGTTCTTTCGTTTGGAGCTCTTCACAGGATTCCATTCACACGGTTTTCACAATAAATGTATCATTAATTCTGTTGTTGTGCCGGTTATTACAGATAACCTTATCAGGTTATGGGTTCATCACGCACATGAAATCGCTAGAAAAGGTTCATTGCGATTTGGATGAAATCGTTTGTTTGGTTTGCGTCGTGTTGAGAGGTTAGTGCACACTGGCAGAGAAAGAGTTAAAGAAAGAGTTTAAGTGGTGTTACAGAATGACACAGACTTTCTCGTAGTGAAGTTTGCTGATTTCCTTGGTGTGGACTGGCTATACGGTCTTACCCCCTCCTCTTGCCAGCTGCTAGACTACTTTTTTTTTTTAATCTCAGTTTTTCGGTTTCCTAATAGTAGAAGCGAAATATTTACTTTAAAAATATTAAAGAAGAGTAAAACTTCTACATAAACGGCAATTTTTATTGAAAAATTTGGAGCAGTTTTAAAGAAAATGGCGTTTGAAAGTTACTGTAAATGTGAAATTTAAAGGTCTTTTTCATAGAAAATATTTGAGCTTTCGAAAAACTTCATTTAAAGTCATTTGACGCACTTAAACTTACAAATGCAATAGTGTTCACAAGTCGCTGGAAACGTGTAAATTAACGTGAGAGGTTTTTTTTAAAAAAAAATACATGTGTGTAATTTTTGAAAAAACAAAAAATTCAAAATAAACTTTACGTTATATTAAAGAGTGCAATTAGAACTATTCTTTCGAAAAGTTTGAAGAAAAAAATTCAACCCCTTTTTCTTAAAAATGGCGTTTGAGCGTTTCTAAGAATGCGGAATTTTGAGCTCATCTTAACAAAATCTGTTGAGTTTGTGAACTGTATATGCCATTATTTATAGAACATGTACTCATAAATACAATAATGTGAACAAATTGCCGCTAATGTAAATATTAACGACGTGGGAGACAAGTAAAAAAAATAATTTTTAGAATTTTTGAAAAAAATAACAACAAAAGAATAAAGCAATATTACGTTTATGTCATCACATAGAGTGCACGTAGTACAATCCTCACAAATTTAAAGAAAACATATGGAACCGATTTTGAGGAAACCTTGTGTTTGCAATTTTTTAAAAAAATGCAAATATTGCACGCAATATTGCGCGAAAACTCCTATTATTTTCAAAAAATGTACTTAGCCTTAACGACAGAACTAATTATGGACAACCAATTTCATTTGAAGGAAAAATCTCTATCTTCAATTTTGCAACAGGCAGAGATGGCTAGGGGCAACAACTGAAGTCCCTATAGTCCCTCTAACCGGGAGGTCGTAGGTTCGAGACCCAACGGTGGCAGCTTGTCAGCTAGGTCGAATTCAGTCGTTGTCTGGAGGGGGCTCTAGTCGACGGCTGTTCCGATAGTTTTCCGTGGCTTCCCTAGTGGGCAGACGTTTTCGCGCCAATTTATTTGTCGGTATCAAAAGGCCACAAAACATAACACAACCATTCTGACTACGTAACATGTTTGATGAAATAATTTACTACACATAGCAACAAGATTTACCCACGTTTTCGTTACCATTGCTCAACAAAAGGAGATTTTTAGTCCAAAAATCGGCGTTTTCCGGCACACGATTACAATATTTTTTCGTCTTACAAAGGCGAAAATGTAAAACCAATACACGGAAACGAACTTCTTAATTGAAGGTTTCAGTTGAGAAAATAATTCCCTCTTACCTACTATTACAGACGACAATCAATGGAATACGAAAATACTGTCCAAGCTTTAAAACACTTTTAAATCACGGTTTCACCATCGTTGCATTGATCATACTGAGAATTCTGTGGGAAGTTGGCTTTTGGAAGCTGTGGGTGACTTAGTGCTAACGAGCCCCGGCCTCCCCTATCGTTCTATGCTCAAAAGTAGTTGTCTTTTGGAAGGGCGACATCTACGTGGTCTCTGAAGTAAGGTCACGATGAAATGAACGATTTCTAGAATCAACTAGTGGTGATAACACAGCATGTACTTTCTCTCCCGTACTTTCACGTAAAATTACGCAAGAAGTACTCAGATTTTGAAATAAGGTCGTATACAATTTTTCGAAAATTTATCTTTAAGAAACAGATTTTATCACGGGAAAACTTTTTATCTTCATAATTGTAGATACAAGTCAAAGCAGAAAATTTCGAATTTTTTCAATTTTTGAAAAATCAGAGTTTTCAACAAAAATGACACCTGCGCCATTCTCTTAAACGTTCGTCACACTATCCAAAAACAAAATTTAATCAAAAATGTTAATGATATTTTTTATTTAGTAAATGTCCGAAGGGCTTCGTATAAAGTAACCCACAAAATTAAAATATCGGTTTCAGATTCAAGGGGCCGCATCATCAGCTACTAGATCAATAGGGGAATATCAATTTTGGAGACAATCGGCTGAACGGTGTAGTCTCTAGTGTTGTTCACAGACGGACGGAGAT